CAGTGTTAGCAAAAATGCACATTTCGATGCCTTGTGCGTAGGCAGGTAACATAATCAGAAACATTACACTACATTTTTACATGTAAGTGCACTTTTTCCAAGCTTTTTAATGTATTTTAACAGAAAATAAACTGTATTTTGAATATTTTCAGACCATAACAGGATTACAGAATGACCCATTCTTTATGTTTCGAGTCAATTCTCCTCATGGATGTTTACTAAAAGTTTTTAAGGTCAATTAAATCATTTAACTATATATGTCAAGGTGACCACGTCCGGAACATTTGGACTTTCCCTCAGGAACAACAGGTGTGTGATGCAAACAGACAGATGGCATCCTGGGATATGTAGTTCCCTTTATTGTCGGCACAGCTTGTAATGTTCCTGCCAGGAGGCATTAAAGCTGCTCTCTGCTCACAGGGGGAAGCTGATTGAAATTCCTAAAGTTCCTCCTGCTTCACCGGCTCTCTGTTGCTCCCCAGCGCAAAACTGCAACCTATTTCACACTCTGCTGCCGAAAGGAAGGAGGGTTTTACAACTCAGGGTGGCAGCAGAAGTCCAGAAGTAGCACACAGTCATCTTCCATATCCTCCACTTTCTACTGGCTGGAGAAGAGCTGTTATCTGGATGTGAAACCCTAACCCTTTTTATTTTGAATTTAATCCTCTTAATAGTCATTTCTTGATCATTTTGGATCACAGTGAAGTTTCTTTAAAGTGGACCTATCACGCTATTTTTAGAATATGCATTTGGTTTTTAAATGCTATGATTCCCTTTTAGTTGTAAGCCTCTGAGTATTGTTCATGGCATTTATATTGTTGTTGTTGTTGTGCTGTTTTGCAGAAATTGGCCCCAAAGCTGCTGTAATGAAGCTCTGACTCTTTGTAAACGGCTTTTTCTGTCTCTCATGTTCCTGCTTTTTAACAAGAAAAACTGGCGTAATAACGGCATGTCTTCCACAGAGATGTAAACAAACACAGCCTCGGGTGATCCTGCCTTTAATTACACCACAACAACAAACAAAAGGAAAATACAGGAAACACGACACGAGCTGAAAGCAAATGACTTCACTCTGATCTGTCTTCGTTAGAGACCCACTGCATTCTGGGTAAAAAAGACATGAGGTATTGGAGATGTAGCTCAAAGCTTGAAAGCATATTCAGATCAGAGGCCTGTACTACGAAGCCGGTTCAACCTAACTTGGATATGTTGGAGTTAGCCGGTTGGCCCAATCCAAAACATACGCGCTCTCGCTAAACGGTCCTACGACGCGGGTTATCAAGTGGATCGCTCAAGCCAGCCGTGTCCTATCTAGTTAGGTGCGCGTTCACATGAAAGGGGTGGTATTTGGAGCATTCGACCAATCACTAACATGGACAAGCGTACTGACAGCGCAGCGTCATACTTCCTGAATGAAAAGTGAACTATAATATTAGTCAAATATGAAGAAGTTAAACTTTAAACATCCATGACTTAAACACTTTATCCAGGATAAAAGCCACATAGCTGCACCTGCAAGGTGAATACAGCTGGTAAAAGAAAAAGTGTTTGAATGCGTACATTAACAGGTTTATGAAATCACTGCCCCGTCTAAGAAACGATCTGACTTTAATTACATTTGACTCGAGTGTTTCGTCAACTTAATGTGTTGCTTAAAATAATACTTCTGCATACAGTATGTGACACTGTGAGTGTTGCACGGCCAGATACGGCTCAAGAAGCTGACTCGGATAAGGAAATATATGATACATTATGATGTGATATGATATGAATGATAATGGGACACATCGACGTCTGCACTCACAGTGCCGCGGACTGTACTTAATGTTACTCTGATCCGGTTACTTATGTTGTGGCAGATATTTAAGTAAGCTTTCTTAACGCTAATATTATAATAGTCAGATTGCTCTGAAGATGGGAGGGGATATTCTATTAATTTTCCCGTTCACACAGATTTCTGCAAAAATATTGAGCTTTTCTTTTCTGTTTTCAGTTGTTTGGCAATTTAACCTTTGTTGGCACAACATAATATCAAATACAAACATTTAAAATAACTTAATATCTATGTAGTTTGTTTGTTTGTAGCCTTTATTTAACCAGGTTAAAAAATCCCATTGAGATCAACGATCTCTTTTTCAAGGGAGACCTGCGGTACATTAGTTACACATAAAAACAAACAGAAAACAAAAGGACATCACAACATAATTACAGGGGTATACATTAGCAACCTATTTACATTTACAGGTATTCAATAACATTTCATCCAGCCGTGCTTTAAAACGATGCAAGGGAATCAAAATGCTCAGTTTCAATATTTTTTGCATGGTGTTCCAAGCCAGAGGAGCAGCGCACATAAAAGCTTTTTTTAGCTAGTTATCCAAGAAAATCAAGTGAATGCCACAGTCTTAATATTGTACAATTCCAGTGTCCTTGTCACTGTCTGATCCCTGCAAGGCAAGTGTCGCCATGGTTACAGCATCCCATCATAATGCTGGGTTCAGCTGGTGCTTGCCGGAGCATTTCCCTCGCGCGCGCGTGTGAGTGTGTCTGTGTCTGTGTCTGTGTCTGTGTGTGTGTGTGTGTCTGTGTCTGTGTCTGTGTCTGTGTGTGTGTGTGTGTCTGTGTCTGTGTCTGTGTCTGTGTCTGTGTCTGTGTGTGTGTGTGTGTGTGTGTGTGTGTGTGTGTGTGTGTTGTGTGTGTGTGTGTGTGTGTGTGTGTGTGTGTGTGTGTGTGTGTGTGTGTGTGTGTGTGTGTGTGTGTGTGTGTGTGTGTGTGTGTGTGTGTGTCAGAGTAGTCGTAGTAGTAGTAGAATACTGACTTAAATAAAATGACGGTGGAAAAAACTGTATGAGGTTTATCAGAGGAGACTCATCTCTACTGTAAGTGAATGCATGTTTATTGACAAGAGGATGACAGGATGTGAATATTGTTTGATGAGTTGCTATTAGATATATTTTAAAGTAGAGGTGTAGCTGTAAGGAAGGTGTAACCAAATTGCCTGACATTACAGCCGACGGCGGCAGAGACGAGAACAGATTGGAAGTATGATAGCAGCTAAATGATTGGCTGTTGAAGATCGTATCAAAATAGTTGGTTAACCAAAACATCCATTATCAGCATCAGTAGCTGGAGAGAGAATTGAGAAAGGTTGTCCTCCAGATTCAACGATCACTGGGCTTCATTCAGTGGTAATTGAAGTAAAGGCTGAAGTAGAAGTAGTAGTGCCAGTAGAAGTATCTGGCCTCTATAGATAGTAGTGGTTTGAGTGGAAATGATAGAAGTAGATTACTGTAAATATGTAATATGAAAGTAGGTAACTAATTGTATGTTGTGTTATTATATCAGCAGTTGTAGTTGTAGTAGATTTAGACGTAGAATTGGATGAGTTTAAACAGTTAGCCATGATCAGAGAGGTTGCAAAACATAAAGTGCATATTGCGTATTATATTAAACATACTGCCTTTTTGGTTAAAGCCTTATTAAATAAATAAAAAAGACCTCTCAATTCATCCAAGTGGACGATAGGAAAAAACACAAATAAAGTCCGGCACTTTTCTGCTTTGATTTTAATTATTTTTTTAAACCTAGAGGCATGCAAGGCGCTCGTGCACAAAACGTCAAATGCTTACCAACCATTAGGAGCAACAAGCTTCAAGCCGCCCCGAGCTGCTAAAAACTGCTCAGTCTGATCAGAGTTTTAGTATCTGTAGGCTAGAAGATGTAGTAGTTATTTTAAAAGCTATATAAAGGATGGTAGTAGGAGATTAAGATCAATGTGTAAAACTCAAACTAACCTCAGAGTCCTTTATCTGCTGCCACAATCAAACAGCATCAGTTTTTAGCACCGGAGCTTTTGTGTAGCAGCCAGGAAAGAACATTTCATGTATGTACTGGCCACCAGGGGGCCGCAGATTCACTTGGAACACACACACACACAAATTGCATGTATTGTATGTAATTGTAGTTGTCTAACTTGAACCTAGCTAAGACACTCTGCTGTTCCTCCCCTCCCACTGAAATTATGAATGTAAGGCGTATAGTAATCATAGATCACACGGCAGGGTCCGTGACGGTTTGTTTTCATCTGATTTCAAATAAACAAAGTCTTGGTTTTTAGAATATTAAACTTGTTTCGCCAAATTCAGATGATAAATACAACTTTTAAGCTTGTAAAGGCATAATTACAGGCGGCAACTTAACGTCACAGCAGGCATAACAACAGCCGGTGTTTCTTGTGAGTGTTTCCCCGGGAAACAAACACAATACACACACACGCGTCACAGATTATTTTGCGGTATTTGGCTGCCGAACGAAATCATGTACGCAGCTCGCAACGTAACTAGGAGTCTAGTGGACGGCATCAGTACTACAAGTTTTATTAATTACGTTGTCTATAAATTAATCTGAGGGCCGCAAAAAGAGGAGGTGGGGGCCGCCATTTGCCCATCCCTGGTCTATATGCTATAAATACCTGTAAAAAGGACAAACACATTCTCTAAAGCTACAGGCGCAGAAACGTCCTTTAACTGTGTGTAGAAATATGTGTGTGAAGAAGTGATATACGCTGCCAGATCTCCTGTAAGTGGAACAGGATAAAATATTGCTGACTCACATTTAAAGCTTCCCTCTGAACCCAGTGTAAACTCTGGATAAATGCAAGCTTTAATGGACTTTCCATTGTCCTTTTTTCAAGATGTTCTCAAATGTCACCGAGATATTATGGAGATGACATGAATCTGGTTTGTTGTTCTCATGTAAAAATAGTCAACAAAAAGTCCTCACTACTTTTGGATAGTCTACAGAAAGGGGACGATTGCTTTGCGTTTACTAAAAGTCAACTTTAACACACCTGGATTCATTTACTGCTAACTCTTAGGCTAACTCTCGATTACTACTGTATTTATATTATTTATTTTAAGATGGAAATTGGCTTTAATTGTTTAAAATGGTGACGTGCCAACCTGCTAACAGTTTGTCGTTTTCCTGTTTTTCTGTAACAGGTTGCCTGTTTGAGAACGAGCTGTGTTCAACGTATGAAGTCTGCGTCAACGGTGAGATGACACACACACACACACACACACACACACACACACACACACACACACACACACACACACACACACACACACACACACAGTAAATGATGCAGTGAATCAGGTGAGAAAGAGACTTCTATTAACGGTAATAAATAGTGACCAGGTTTTGTCAAACTTATTGTCCAAACCATGTACTGTATAGCTACGTTTCTCCAGATCTAATCCCAGCATCTGAACCACTGTTTTAAAGGCGTATCTGTGCAATAAAAGTGTCTAAAACATGCAGAATGATTGCGGAATCAGTTTCTCTCTCTCTCTCTCTCTCTCTCTCTCTCTCTCTCTCTCTCTCTCTCTCTCTCTCGCTCGCTCGCTCGCTCGCTCGCTCTCTCTCTCTCTCTCTCTCTCTCTCTCTCTCTCTCGCATCAAGAGAAAGGAAACCCCTGCTGAGAATCAACCCAGAATACAAAATTCCCCCAAAAAACGTGAAAGTCCATCACAGAAAAATAAATGGGTTATTTCCCAGCGTTTTCTACTCTATTTTATCTGTATTTTATTTGTGTTCGGTGCAGGAAAAAGATTTCACTTATCATCATCTCTACAGGAAAAGACAGAGAGCAGCCAGATAGTAATGAGTATTATAATCTTATTTAGCAGGGTCTGTCAGCTGCAGCAGGTGGTTTCTGACCTGCTTCCTGACGTGTGTGTGTGTGTGTGTGTGTGTCTGTGTGTGTGTGTGTGTGTGTGTGTGTGTGTGTGTGTGTGTGTGGTGTGTGTGTGTGTGTGTGTGTGTGTGTGTGTGTGTGTGTGTGTGTGTGTGTGTGTGTGTGTGTGTGTGTGTGTGTGTGTGTGTGTGTGTGTGTGTGTGTGTGTGTGTGTGTGTGTGTGTGTGTGTGTTATAGGCTGAGTGTGTTTGTCCTGCATTCATTAGCCGGGTCGTTTCCTGTGTGCACGATGTCCTTTTTGAAATGTAATCTGATGCCGACAGTAGAAAACAAGGTCTGTGAGAGAATCATGTCGTCAGCTGTGAGGTTTATTTTGTATCCGTCTGTGTTGTGACGCCTTCAGGTGACCTTGTTTTGCTTTGATGGAGTAAAAAAAAAAGTGTAGACAGCTTTTGTTTGGATGGTTGTTCAGCTGCTGCTCACACTTCGTCTGCTATCAAATTGAATATAAATATGAGGAAGTGAAAACACTCCAGTGCAGTCAGGACTCTACTGTTTTATATCAGAATCAGAATTCCTTTTTTCATCCCAAACTGAAAAAACGTTACCTAGTTTTCAGTTGATTTATTAATTAAACGTAATATTATTGCTTAAAACTAACCTAATACCAGAGGTGGGAGTAAGTCCTACATGTGCAAGTCATGAGCAAGTCTCAAGTCTTGACCTACAAGTATCAAGCAAGTCCCAAGTCACTGTGGTGAGAGTCAAGCAAGTCAAGTCAAGTCATTGCTCAGGTCAAGCAAGTCAAGTCAAGTCATTGCTCAGGTCAAGCAAGTCAAGTCAAGTCATACGAAATTCTGATGAATAAGCCCAGTTTCCGCATTTAAATCAGACAGTTGTTATGAAAATGGATTTAACCCACACTGGGTTACATACAGTTAATCATTTGAAATCGAATTTAGACCGATGACAATCATATTAGATTCATATTAACCCTAGAGCTGCAGACAATATAGCTAGGACTCAAAAAGTCTGTTCAAAAAGGCAGAATTCCAGGTAAGAAAATCATATATGGCATTTGCCATTACACATATTTAATTTAAATGTCTGTTAACACTAGAACCGCCAACAGCGTCAGCTCCTACATAGATATCATTTTCCAATCATTTAATTTGTTCCTCTTCATAATTTCCTTATAAACTAAGTAGGACGATTTAAAACTCACTTAATTGGGTTAATTTAGAAATTGCTTCAGTTTATCATCATAACAGATCAAAAAGTTCAGATTCATTTTACAATAAATCAAGGAATGATGCACTTCTACAAACAAAAACAACATAATTAATAACATTTAACAAACTACTAAAAGTAGATGAACTACCATTTATTCAACAGTTTACAGTAACTTCTGATAATAACACAGGGGAAATAAACGAGGCATCTCTTTTCCCTCTCTCTCCTCTCCCTCTCTCTCTCTCTCTCTCTCTTCTCCTCGTCCTCTCTCTCTACTCTCTGCTCTCTGTACTCTCTCTCTCTCTCTCTCTCTCTCATCTCTCTCTCTCATCTCTCTCTCTCTCTCTCTCCTGACAGCCCGTCAGTATCGGGGTTAGTCAAAATGAATCCCTTGGCGGTTCTAGTGTTCATTTACCGTTTTGTCTTCTCTTTGCAATGCTTAATCGATTTGAAACCAAGTCTAACGTAGCTTAAACTTAACGTTAGCTTTCTAGCTAACACAACACATTCACGCACCTTTCTCTGTGGGTTTTTTTGTAGTGACGAATGAGGTTGGATGTTGTGGTGGTCGTGTCACTGATCTTTATGCTGCAGACCCTGCATACCGCTGTTCTCTTCTTATTAGCGTCATCGACAACATAATCCTTGAATCCAAACTTCACTATTTGTGGAGTAATGCTAGCCGCTGCCATGTTAACTGACGCTCCTGCGGTCTAGTGGGTTGCCAGGTTTGCGCGCATGGCGCTATAATCACCCAAACACGTTTTTCGAAAAAACTAAACGTAATATCTCACTACAAAAACAAACGCAAATATTTAATTTTAAACAGACAAGTCCTTTCAAGTCATCTGTCTCAAGCTTAAGTCAAGTCTCAAGTCATGAATACCAAGTCAAAGTCAAGTCAAGTCTTTTATCAATGTTAGTCAAGCAAGTCTCAAGTCAAAAATAATGCGACTCGAGTCTGACTCGAGTCAAGTCATGTGACTCGAGTCCCCACCTCTGCCTAATACAATTATGTGAAAACTGTTGACATAATACATTTCATTAAAGACATTTTTTCATTTTTTCCGTGAACAAAGGGGATATTTATGTACAGCAAAGTATAGATAGAGACCAGAACACTATAATATAAAACGCATGCACATAGTATTTTAAATAATTATATTTCAAACAATTATATTTATAAAATAAACTAAGTGTAACAGCTAGTAGTTATAATAATATTGGCTAGGAACATATTGCACATAATAGTTTTTGCACAGTGTGTGTGTGTTTGTGTGTGTGTGTGTGTGTGTGTGTGTGTGTGTGTGTGTGTGTGTGTGGCCTAGCATTACCATCCTTGTGGGGACCTAAATCTGTTTACAGAGTCACGTGTGGGGACTCGCCCCCCTTATGGGGACATCATTAATTTTAGGGTAAAGACTTGGTTAGGGTTAGGGTTAGGCATGTGTTGGTTATGGTTAAGGTTAGGATAAGTCTCCAGGAAATGCATGTAAGTCAATGTAATATCCCCTGAAGTGATGCATACATGGTATGTGTGGTTAGGGGTTAGTGTGTGTGTGTGGTGTGTGTGTGTGGTGTGTGTGTGTGTGTGTGTGTGTGTGTGTGTGTGTGTGTGTGGTGTGTGTGTGTGTGTGTGTGTGTGTGTGTATGTGTATGTGTCTGTGTGTGTGTGTGTGTGTGTGTGTGTATGTGTATGTGTATGTGTATGTGTATGTGTATGTGTATGTGTATGTGTGTGTGTGTGGTGTGTGTGTGTGTGTGTGTGTGTGTTTAAACGGGGGTATAGGCAGTGGGTAACACCATGCAAACCCTTTTATTTTGCTACAACAAAAGCTCAACAAAACTTGAAAGATTTCAAGTATAAAAACATTTGATTTCTTGCAGAGGTAAAAAGAACCTCTTGTTTCCTCTCAGGATTGAGATGTGTTTCTGCAAAAAGAAGATGTCCTCAGCAGAACAATACCATCGTTACTCATTGTTTTATTTCTGCAGCGAGACAATAGGAGCTGCTGTGAGTCCTGATAGAGTCTGAGCTGCCAATCAGTTCGAGGCAGGTCCCAATAAAGAGAAGGAACAATAGCTGCGTTCACACTGGATTACTTTTCACCGTACTTTTCGCGTTTAGTTCCGTTAGTACCTCTTATGTCGCGTTCACACCAAAAAGAGCACTTAATCTCTGGAACTTTTACCCCCATTTTTAGTGCCTGCTGAGAGATGGTACTTTCCTGGGGGAAAAAGTGCCCCAGTTCTGATTGGCTGGGCGAATTGAAAACCACGCCCCGTACAACTCTGAAATGTTTTGTAGAGCCGCCATTTTATTATCCTGGCATTAGCATTATTAGCATTAGCATTCGCCCAGTGCACAAACTAGAGAGAGAGAGACTAACTTATGGCAACACAAAAGAAAACATGGGAGCGGTGGAGTGATGAGGAGGTGTCGGCGTTCTGGCGATTTACTCGGAAGGCTTCAGTAGAAGCTGCAGGGAGTCCCAGCAGCTTCTACTGAAGCCAGTCCCCAACTCCGGGGACTTCCGGCCGGGAACTCCGGGTGGCAGTATACGCCGTGAAGTGGTTTGCGGCCTGCCAGTAAACCCAAAGCAGAAGAAGACGAAGTGACGTCAGCGGCTCATTTGCGTAATCTTCCCTCAGGGAAAAGTACTCCGGTGTGAACGCGATCTGTACTAAATGCCCTGGGGTATTAAGTGCCGGCACTGAATACGGCAAAGTACTTGGTGTGAACGCGCCTAATGAGGAGCAGCAGCCATTGTTTCCTCTGAGATCCACCTGATGTTCAGGTGTATATCAGTATGTAGTGTCTCTACTTTAAAGAGTCCTCTCCTGCTGATGATCAGGTGTATATCAGTATGTAGTGTCTCTACTTTAAAGAGTCCTCTCCTGCTGAGGATCAGGTGTATATCAGTATGTAGTGTCTCTACTTTAAAGAGTCCTCTCCTGCTGATGTTCAGGTGTATATCAGTATGTAGTGTCTCTACTTTAAAGAGTCCTCTCCTGCTGATGTTCAGGTGTATATCAGTATGTAGTGTCTCTTTAAAGAGTCCTCTCCTGCTGATGTTCAGGTGTATATCAGTATGTAGTGTCTCTACTTTAAAGAGTCCT